TCTCTCTCTCTCTCTCTCTCTCTCTCTCTCTCTCTCTCTCTCTCTCTCTCTCCATCCACCTATTCAACCCACCTAACACTACGAAGACTTCCACGGAGTCCACGATTCGACAGAACAACCGTTATGCAACACACACAGTAGAATTATCAGCTGCCTTTTTTTTTGCAGACCCCCCCTTACGTGGCACTGCTTTCCTCTTCTTTGCCCCTGCTCTGCTGCCATCCCTTTCCGCCTGTCTGGCCTCCATCCGTTCCTGTCTCTCCTCAGCTCTCGCCTTCTCGCCCAACATACCTTGATATTTCTCAACCCAGCGAGGCTTCGACAACCTATCCACCAGTCTCATGTCCCTGACCTGGATCGTCACCCTCTTCGAATGGATGGCCACCTCGTTGGTGTTCTCGAAATTGACGACCAGGTACGCCTCGGTAGCCTCCATCAAAGCACGCACTGCCGTCATCTGAAACCTCACGCCCATCCCCGGAGCAATGTCCCGCTCCACAACCTCGCGCACGGGACGCAAGAACGGCCTGAAAGCCAAACAAAGGTCGGTGGATCGTTGCAACTTTCTGATTTCCGACAAAGTTGCCATCCCGGAGCGTCGACGACGTATGGGGACCTGAGCTCGTGCTCCTGCGGTGTCTCCGGTCCCTGGCACCGCCTTCGAGTTCACCTTCTTTCTGCCTGTGAGCGTCTGCCCAAGTGGCGGTCTCGACGTGCACTTCTTCTTCTTCCCCGGGCTCTGTGACATCGCGACATCGCTCGGCCCGCCCATGTCACCCTGTGCTGCAGAGCACCCCCCGACGCGACCAGTACCACATGGGCCCTCCACCTCAGAAGACAAACGGGAAATTTCTGAGCGCTTCTCTGTCCTCTTGCCTACCTGCGCTGAACCTGCCAAGTCATTCTCCGGCAGATACCGAATGTCTCGCAGGAGTCCATCTGAGTAGGTCAGATGGAAAGGCACACCAAGCGGGTCTCTGAATCTCATGGTGATGTCTCCACCATGCTCATATGTCATGGGACAAACAGACGGACAGACAGACAGACATCCACTTGAAATCGTGCGGAATTGAAATTGGTTCGTCACATATGTGACGCCCAGGGGGTTCCAATCTTAAGCAAGCTCCTGCTTGCTTGAATCGTGACACGTATCGATCTCTCTAACCGATCGACACGCGGAACTTTCTATGTTGTCGCCAACTGTGCAAAGGAGTGTGAAAGTCATTCAGGGTGGCACACGTGGCTCTATCCTATAATTTTCCTCAGGGTGGGCTCTCTTCAATCCGAGGAGGGGATCATGTGTGCCGTCGCCGTGATTCGTGCCAATCAACCATACATCAATGTCCTAAGGGAAGGGGAAAGGGAAGACGATACATGGGGGCATGGCGAGGGGGTAGGTTAGTCGGGAGTGGAGGTACTAGGAAGCGTTCCAATCCCGCTACTGTCTCCGGAAGCTCCCGATATCGGACGATCTGGTGGAAGCGAGGGAATCGATTACCACTATGAGGAAGGAAGGCGAGATAGTCGGGTTAAAGGGTGGTGAAAGTTCGGAGAAGCGCCGTGCGGAAATGATCGTGGTTTTCGCACGCGGGGATAGTCCCCGTAATCATGCAATAAACCTCGACCATGTTGTGGCCTCGCCACGCGACGCTGAAGAGAAGGGCGTGGAGACAGAAAACAGGGGTGGCACACCGGGTAGAAGGATGGGGATGAATCGTGACAGCAAGACGGGTGGCGTAGAAGAAGCGGAAAGTGTCAATTGGGATAGGATTGTTGGGGAAGGTGATGAGGGTAGTGATCTGGCGGAGGGTTAGGTGGTCAAGGGGACGACGAGATAAGGACCGGGGACGACGCCCGATGCCCCGCATCGGTGCGAGCTCGAACTGGTGGACGGGCTGAGGTGGAGGGGGAGGGGGATCGACTTCGTCGTCGCCTGGCCGGTGCGCTCGAAGTCTCGGCAGCAAGGTCCTCATCTTCTGGCCTAGGCAACTCCGAATCTTTAGCTGGATCGTTCGAGATTGGCAGATCCGCCTCGCTTGCGTACTCCAGCTGCTGCTTGCCGGCGGCGATTTCTTCTCTCTTCCGCACCGCCTCGGGATCCTCCTCCGCGCCTTCCACGCGATCCGCCTCTATAGACTGTAGGGCTTACAGTGAATCGGGGGATGGTTTCCGGTTTGGATCTCGTGTTGTATGACTAACGACAGTCCAATGTCTGTGTCCGTCAGACTAATCGCTCCTTTGTATTCTTTTAAAATTTCCACGATTAGATGATGGATCTCATCAGGCACGTATTGGGGCACGTGCAACTCGTACAACTCGTCCCATATCCGTACATCGATGTGTTTCGTACTTACCCGCTTGGTGTTTTCGGGCGGGGGCGCGAAAATAAACGATTTGTCCGACCTCCAGGAGAATACCGTGACCATCATCTCTGCATCCTGTTCTCGAATGACCACGTGTTCTTCCGGTGTTATTCCGTTTCGAATGTCCTGCCAAGACACTAGTTTCGTCGCAATTTTAATCCCAAGTCCGGTTTCGAGGCGCTCAAGGGGTTCCAAAGAATTGTTCTCCACCCCTAAGCGTATCAATCGTATATCTTTTGCAGGCGTCAAGAGAGATCGTGGGAGATTTGTAATGTCGCAATAGTGCCTTTTGTTATTGTATTGTGTAAGTAGAGAAGAGATACCTTCGTACAGGGTTCGAGGGGGTTCCAAAGAATCGACCATCCTCAAAATCTATACGAGGGATTCACCCATAATCATAACTTGCGCTAATTGTAAACTCTGATCGGTCAGGCTTAGCGATCTTGTGTTCGCTCGTTGCATAGGGTAATAGGTATGCTGTTGTGCCATCTCCAGGATGATCGGATCATCCTCGTCACTGTTGTCCATATCCTTTGGCGGTTGCCAGTCGTCTGCGGAATTATCCCAGGTGCTCACGCAGAGGGTTCCCGCCATCTTGGGAAAGACTCGTAGAATCACGTTAGTGGCGGTACGAAGGGTCAATCTCATCGGTACAACATAAGGTTTTCCTCCTGTATTTCGGAGGACAATCGATCGTCTCTCGGAATCCAGATTGGCTCGCAGGGCTACTAGAGCGGGAAGGCCAAAAAGGACGTCGTAAGTGTTTACGTCTAAGACCACGACATCTCCCAAAGCATGTACCTTCCCTAATCGGAAAGCAACATTATTTATTCGTCCCACCGTTTTAATCTTCTCCTCATCTGCTGAAACGAGTTGGTCCTTTTCTGTAAGCATGATTAAATCATTTCCTACCCTTTCAACTACCCGTAACGAGATGGCCAAAACAGCGGCTCCCGAATCGATAATGGCATTGTATGGGATTCCCCATATCTCGATATCGCATTCTGCAGATTTCTAGGGGATTGGTTTAATCCGTAGGAAGTGATAATCTTTCTGTATTAATCCTAACTGTATTGGGTCTTAAGTTCCTGCTGCTTTTTCATCTGGGGCTGGACTTTTTGCTTTCGTATTCAGTGTTCGGGCGAGGGCGAATTGTTTCCGATTTGCCTTGCAATGTTGCAACATTCGTTCGTTAGCTTGTTCCGATATCGAGAGTAGGTGACCGATCGGAAGAGGAATCCGATCTAAGGCTCGAACGATGTTCAAAACATCGATCTCCCCAGTGACGAAGGTGGGTCCTCCCGACTCCATTTCTCGTGGAGAAGGTAGTCATTCCGCCACTTCTCTTTGTTCTGGCGCGGGTCTAATCGTTCCAATTATCCCAAGCCCCAGGTAGCCAAGTGTTACGTACTGATATAACGAGATTAGTTCAGCAACTTCCTCCATAGTAGCTAATGTGCTTCCACCCCCTTCCATTTCTTCCATCAATGCCCCCACTCGTCCAGGTCCGTTGGCGATCGGGGCCGCTGCTACTGGTGCGGCTCCGACTCGTTGCTGTGGGGGTCGATGAGGGCAATCACGGGCTATATGTCCTGGTTGGTGACACGTAGAACAGACGTTCAGATTGTTAGAGATTCCTGCAGGAGGGGGTGCCAGAGCCAATCCGTGCTGAATCAGGGCGGCACGCATCGCTAGTGGCCGCATCGACCTCATCATCGCCTCTATCCGTGCGTTGTGTTCCCGCTGTTCCTTTTTGCTTTCTTGAATCAGAGTAACCAATGTCGTGGTCAGTTCTAATAGGGCGGAAGACTCATTCGGTCGTGAGGGGGTCTCGACTGGTGGCGGGGGTGCTGTCATCACGGGCACGGGCACGCTCGTAATTACACTCGGGATGGGTCGTTTGGGACTAATCTGTTCCAGATAGGTGACAGGGCCTGACACAAACCCCATGTTTTTGAATTTGTTTTGTAGTGCAACCAACTCAGCTTTAACTCTTGCTAGTTCGGACAAGTCTTCTTCCCTAGGATAGTCTTCCCCTTCTAGGAAACTCGCAGCGAACTTTCTTTCCATTTCTTCTGCGACTGTCATGATATGTTGCAGCGTGTGATTGATGGGGGGAACTGTTTTCATAGTTTCACCCTCATCGTTCGGCTGCGAAGCCCATCGATGAACAAATCTCTACCTACTTGTTTGCCTCGTTCCGTTTTCACAAACATCCTATAGAATCGGTTCCGATACTCGGTGACAGATTTTTTTGAACTCGATCTTTGATCATGAAAAGAGCTTGTTCTCAGTGGATGTAATCGAATCGGTTCAAGAAATCTAGCTCGAATATCGGGAGATCGACCCATACATAGGTGCTAAACCAGTGATGGGCATCTCCTCTCATTCGTGTAGGGATGTTCACCTGTCCCTCGCTATCATCATAATGTTGAGCCCGGAGCGTGGCTAACGATGCTCCAGCGAGATGATGTGCATGGTCGAATAGATAAAGGTCGGGTGGCATCATAGGAGCCCGTGCTCGTGGTATGGGTTGATTAGGATTGTGTTGGGGATTCGGGTTCTGTTGGGGGTTCTGCTGATTAGCATTCATGTTGACCGTCCGTCGGGCCGCAGTCCGGCTTCTACTGACGACGGGGTCGTGTCCATGCGCGTTCCGCAGTCGAGGTCATCCCTTGTTAGCCAGATCGCCCAGCTAGAAATCCTAGAACCTTGCCACGTTGTCAGGCGTCCACAAGCAGTGCGCTGCCTGAAAGCCGCGGAATTGGGGCTTAGGCACAGGGACAAGTCCGAGTTTTGACGGTACTCTGGTTTGACCAGGCAACAAAAATTAGGGGACCTCAGGGCACCCCTGATTTTGGGTACGCTGAACCTTACGGGTAACCTTCAAAGATGGCGAAATGGGTAGCCGCTCCCGGCATATCTAGGGACCGTCATTTCAGCCCGTTCCAGGGTTGGGACTGGAATGGCCGGCCGCAAGGGACATCGCGGGATCTAACCCCGTGCGACGTTTTTGCAGCGTATGATCGAGGCCAAAATAGCGCCTTGGATTTTTGCCATTTTTGGTACCTAAATTAAAAATGGGAGAAAAGATTGAGAACAGTAGGAGGGAAGAGAAAAACATGATATTTCTTAATTTCCTTGTTTTTCGCGGCATTTAGATTTTGGGGAAAATACCCCGTTATTTTATGTTTTACGACAATGGAATCGAAAGCAAAGGAAAAGATTAAAGATGATAGAGGAGAAAAGAAACAAAGAATTTCAACAATTTAGTTAAGACTCCCTCGGAATTTATTTTCGTAAAGTTTACGATTATTTTACTGTATCGGATAATAGAATTAAGGAAGAGGTGGAATGATTAGAAATGATGGAGCGAAGAGAGCTAATGATTATTCGACGCCTGGCCTGATTTTTCTGGGATCACTCGCCGTCGGAACAGAGCCCAGGTTTGATCAAATTCTCTGAACTCTAACATTTTTCACTATTCCCCGACGATCGAGATTTTCCGTGTCACTTTCCCAATTTACTTGATCACTGATCTTACTGAGTCAGGATGTTCCGAGGATGGTCGCATGAACAGCATGGGGTGATGCTACTTTGGACCGACAGTATGGTATTTGGTTCGGTATGGACACATGGTTCAAAGAGGATCTCTATCTGGCTTGGTACCGGGAATATTTCTGGCTCGGCATGAGCTCGGCATCAGCGTACTTCAGGTTCAGGGACACTATTGTGGTTTATTTTCAG